CCATTATTTGAATGTCAGCAGACAGCAAGAAGCCACCCAGATCTCCAGATGCATTTGAGATATCAAAAAAGTACTCCAGAGTGTTGTTCAGCATGGGGGTGAGTAGAAAATGAAGGCTAATCATGTTTTGGGTGTACTATTCCTTTAAATATCCTCCCTGTTTTATCAGGCAAGTGACTAATTCTTATTTTTGTTAAAAGAGAGCTGATCAGTCCCTGCATATTAGGTAGTTTTGTCCTAAAAGAAGAAAATTAAAGTACTTTCGTATTATAATTATAAATGTTTTACTTAACTAGAAAGAACCCTGTGCCTCAGGAAAAAACAAATCCCTACAGTATAAAATTTTTTATAAAGTATAGGTATTTCTCTTGATATTAAATTTGAAAGTTTAGAATCATGACAGCTATAGCCAGAGGATTCATTTTAATGATTAAACAGCAGAACCAGGGCTGGGATTTTGGTTTTATACCTTTAAAAAAAAAAAAAAAACAGGCTAACAAACGCTAGTCAAGGGTTTGGGCAGAAGAGAACAAAAGCTTGTTAAAGAAAAACAACATAACTTAAAAAAAGGGAGGGAATATGTTTACATATTAATACATTTAACCATTTAGGATTTTGGTTTTTCCATGAAAACAACAAATTACTGATAAATATTTGCTGTGCAATGCAAGGCTGGCATCTAAATATATAAACTGTTAAGAAAATATTTCCTATAATTACTTTTATAAAGGCAGTGATGTGTCAGTTTCTGTATTTATAACTCCAACAGCTGCTGTGAGGCCAAAACTCATCAATATCTTCTATACTGAAACACAGCTCTCCCCATTGAACTGAAGGATCCATTTTATCTTTAGGCTTTTCTTAATAACAGTCATTTTCCTTCAGAAGCGCATTTGGAAAAAAGAAAAACACCCCAAAAATAAAAACTGATGCTAGATTTGAACATGGAAACAAAACTAGAGGAAGAGTAGAGAGCATGTTGTGGTGTTTGGTTATCAGTAGTTAGGCAATGCTGCTTCTTCTCACGTGAATGGCATCTTATCAGTGTCCTGCAATAGCGATACGCTAACTGACACACACAGATCCCCATGAGAGAGACACAAGCCAGAAGCATTACTAAAAAACACCTCTCAGGGTTTACATGAGCATTTGTTCTCAATATTTACAACCAGGCTCTGCAGCCATCTAACTGCTACCGCTGTGCTGCTCCGCGACTTAAAAGCTGACAGCTACGAACACCGCTGCCCCCATTAGCCCTGCAGCTGCTGACAACTGGTTAGAAGCAGAAACATAATATAAATATATGATAAAGTTGACATTTAGAGGCATGCATAGGAGGATGGGTCTAAGTGGCAGCCAATTTGGCTGCTAATCTAAAGGCCAAGGCTGCTGGCGACAGGAAACCAGATCAATCCGCTGTGTGTGTTTGTGCTGGTGTGTGCCTGGTCTTTCTCTCACCGAATAGATTGCTGGAGTGGCCCTGCTTGGAGACGGGCCGGAGCTCATTGGAACCCCAGGCGTAGCGCTGGTAGCTGTCCCAGGCGTGCTTCATCATCTGACAGGTGGGAAAGAAAAGGAGGAGGGCACAAAAAGAGAAAAGTTAAACTTTGAGCTACTACAACTGATTTATTTCTACATTAGACATTAACATCTCCATTAATATTAGAAGGTATATTTAAAAAATGTAACAATGAAGCCGTCTACTCAGTTTACGCTAGCTTTTCCATTACTTTTGTCTGTTTTTATTGCATTAAAATCTAATGTCTAAATATGTAACAGAATATATATAATGGTAAATATATTTACCAAAGCTATAGCAGGCAGCTACATGAAATCAATGACAGGATTCATTTAGAACCTAATAAAGCCCATTTCACATATACTACAAACTGAAACAAGGCAGTATCTGTTAGATGAGAACAAATCAAATAAAGGAAGATTTAAATATTGTGTTATTTTAGCTTTTCTTTATTTTAACAAACCCTTAATTTCCTTTCATTCTGCTTTAATATTTACACACCAGCATCTTTCCTTATGCTGCTGTTTCTGGGAAGTACACAGGTCCCTCCAGCAGCAACCAAACCTTCATACTGACATCAATGAACTTTACAGGTGGGATGATTTTCACCTCTAAATGTAACGATGGTCTATCTTACAAGCTTTAACCAGTTTATCTATGAAGTATTTCATTTTGTTCTATAACTGATAAACACATTTTACACTAACACATACTTAACTTTGGAGAAAACACATTGACACAGACTGTTTTTTTTTTCATAAAATGCTAAAACATTTCAAATGTGCTTTCTGTTGTTTGCTAAACAATAAAACTCACTACTTTCTCAATGAATAGAGCCACGTTGGATTGATAATCTTAAAGCTGTTAATGAAACAAAACTGGAATTGAAAGGTCAGAAATTCAAACAACTGCTCAGTTATTTTTGATCATGAACAAAAACAAAAACGTCTTTTCTCATGTAGATTTCCGACCGGAACATCGACGCATGTTCCAATTGTGGAAATCTAGGTTACACGACATTAACTTAAAGCCCTCTAGAACCTGCATCCAGATTAGAGTCTAAATCCCTTTATCCTCCACCCTCTGACAGATCTGTTCACTCACAGTTCACTGCTCCTTTTAGAAATGCATCCTACTGGAAGTACAACTTGACTCCAATGTTATCTTTGAAAACCCGACTGTGTTTTGGTGAATATACAGTCAGGGCTCACATTGCTCCTGGTTCCTGTTCTTGCAGCCCATGCAGGTGTGGGAGCGTGATGCGCATTCAGCTGCAAGCAGCAGTGTCTCGCAGCGCAGCTCTCTCTTTAGCTGCTGAATCAGTTACGTTTGTCTATAAGCTCTGATGCATGCTGAGAACAACAATAATTAGAGGTAATTATTTGTAATGACGGTTACAAATGGTCACAGCAGGCAGTAAACCAGTAGGTCAACGAATCTGTTAGCTGGTGTGACTTGTTGCCTCGGAAACTAAAGTTATTATAGTGAGCCAGTAAAGCTGTCAAACAACGGCACAGCCATTTAGCAAGTCAGTCAAGCAGGAAAATAGCCTGAAAATACGCTCCGTGAACCGTTATACTGCAACCCTCACCTCTAAGTACACAGAGCAAAGCTGAAAGTTGACAGGAAATCAAACACAAGCTTCTAGCTGACCTTTTAAGATATTTTTAGACAACCAGATACCCAGATCATAAATCATCGGCATGTCTAGACATTTAAGATGAGGTAAAGCCATACAATGAGTTTTGATCACTGCAGCTATGAATGTGGAAAACATGAAACTCAGGATCAGGCAGATAAAAAACTAAATGCACGAAAGCTGAAACATCTGCTTAAATGTTTCCATCATGGAGTGGTGATTAAGCAGCATTAATTCACGGAAAGCAGAAATATGACCATCAGATGCAGTGAGGTTTTGTTTGCCCTCATTGTGTTTGCAGCTGGGCACTCAGGTTTATCAAAAGGAAACACTTTGGTCATCCAACAGCACTGGCAAGCATTCAAGAGAGAGACGACATGTTCTACATGTGTTCTACTGCGACTGGAACATGAGCTGGAAATGATTTGTTTTCCTAACAGTCACTCTGGCTGCTGCAATGAAATAAAACAATTACATACAGCTAATTTCAAATACAGTAAAGGGAAATATTTGTCTCTATGAATCTCATTTTTATTTGAAGAGAGTGCTGCTAACAATTCACAGCTCATCCCATCATTTTCTACCTCATTCCCATTTCTTCTCTTCCTTTTCCACTTTGAGGCCATAAACACACCAGGTTCTCCTATCAGTTTTATAATTTTTTTTTTATTTAGTATAATAAAAACATACAACTCCTGAAATCTTACAATTAGCTGAGCATTTTAAGATGCACTGAATTTCATTTGACTGTCATTGTGATGCCAGTTTGGATTAACCCAAAAACAGAATAAACACAGTTTTAACACTGCAAAAAATGTAACTCTAAATAAGTCATTTTTCTTAAAATAAGTGCATTTTTTCTTGAATTGATGGGGTAATTTGAAATAAGAAAAAACTATTGCTTAGTCTTTTTTTAAGTGCATATTTTCTAATTATCTTATTTTAAGTGTAAAAATACTCATTCCATTTTCAAACTCTCTTATTTTCCTGCTCAAATTAAGGGTAAATATACTTGATTTAATAAATTTTTACTTAATTTCAGATCGTTTTTGCAGTGAACAATTAGCAAAAAAAAGAAAACTGCTACCAAGTTGGTACAAAATATCTCCCAAATACTTCTCTACTATGATCTTATGTTGATTTGGGATTTGTTTCAGGTTAAGATATATTATGTGCTTCAGGGTGAAGCAGCTTTATAGCATGAAGATCCTGGTTTCTTTCTAAATAAAGTCTGTATGTGTTCCCTTTGCATGCATTCTTTCCTCTCAGATACTCCAGCTTCTTTTCTACAGTCTAAAAACATGACTGATGGGTAAATTTATCATTCAAAATTGCCAATAAGTATGAGTTTATGTTTGCATGGCTGTATGTCCTGTGTCTCCCGGTTGCTCCCTGTGATTGGCTCCATGACTCTTAGATATTGGTATCAGCAAGAATGTGCTTTCTATTCAAATATGTGAGAAAAACAAGAAAAAAAAATGGCTATATTGTCAGAGTTCTGTTGGTTGTTTTGTTTTTCTGGCACAATTTTCTCCACTGTTGGCTCCATTAGAGCGTCGATGAATATGTAAATATGATTGAACCTCAGTTAGTCTCTGCAAAAACCTGATAAGAATCCTAATTTCTATGCAACTGGTTTTCTGAAGAAGTGTGTCTCAGAATGGGTTTTTTATCATATATTTTTAAACTGTATTTGTCAATATGGGGGTTTGACATCGACCACATGCAAACAAAACTACGGTTTTACTAAAAACCACAGAAAATAACTTAGAAATACTTCTTTATTGTGACTTTTGTTGTTGCAACAATAAATAGGGAGTAGCGGTCTAGTGGTTAGGGCATAGAGTGTGGAATCCTTAGGTTGTGACTTTGAAACCCACTCCCACAGACTGCCACTCTGGGTCCCTGAGCAAAGACCCTTAAAGAGGAACTTTTTTTTTTTTTTTTTTTTTTTTTTACATTTGGCCCTTGATTTAACGTTATTGCATCATGTTCTACTCATCCATATGAGTTTTGTGTCATTTGGAGCCGTTCTGAAGATATTCCGTTAAGTTATATCCAAGTAACGTCTTCCTTTGGGCAACGACTTGAAGCCACAAACTAAACTGTTCATAATTTATTCTTTATGGTGCGCCAGCATTCATAACATGTAGGCAAATCACTGTCCCCCAGACATCCGCGGTTATATTTTTTATATTTATATTTCTTTAAAACACAGCGGTGCGTGTATGACGTCATCCGCGCACTGGACAGGAGTTGTGACAGGCAGCCCGGGCCACAGGCGGCTACGCTCTACCCCTTCTATTCATCCGGCTAGCTAATCTGAATCGTTCAATTCCATTTGGAGAGCGAGATCATCTGTAGTAGTAGCAGCACTAGACATCTTCCAGGCATGAGGAAAACTAGCAGCAGTTCAGCGGACAGGATGAATGAACGGTAAATATAAATATAAAAAATATAACCGCAGATGTCTGGGGGACAGTGATTCTCCTACATGTTATGAATGCTGGCGTAACATAAAGAATTATGAACAGTTTAGTTTGTGCCTTCAACTCGTTGCCCAAAGGAAGACGTTACTTGGATATACCCTGACGGAATATATTCAGAACAGTTCCAAATGACACAAAACTCATATAGGTGAGTAGAACATGATGTAATAACGTAAAATCAAGGGTCAAATGTAAAAAAAACGGCGTTTCCCTTTAACCCTACACTGCTCCCCAGGCGCCCCACAATGCCAGTCCACTGCTCCCCTAGGTGATGGGTAAAATGCAGAGTTCATTTTGTTGCTCTGTACTTGTTACAGTGTAATGACAATAAAATACTGCAAGAAGAAGAAAAAAAAGAAGATAAATACCACAAAATACTGCTTTTCCCTATAAACGTTTCCCTCTCTGACAGACCTGTTTGTTGTTTTGAAAAATGTCTCATTAAAGGTGAACATTTTTTAAGATAATTTATTCTGGTCTCTTTTTATTTTTTGAAAACCAAAAACAAAGGTTTCCTGACTCTCAAGATCTCCCCCTTTAAACCATTACATAGAGGTTATCAGTAAGCATTTTAGACTGCTAGCCTTTAATATGAAAGCTGTCAGTCTGTGCTGCCTTTTTATTGTCCAAAAGACAACAGGAACACAAACTATGATATGCCGAAAGTTGAAGCTGTTTATTTTTGTGAAATCTTGTTAAAGCTGTTGTTTTCCTACACTGCACTGTGCACTATAGCTGCCAAAGGATAAATACACTTTGTGTTTTCGTCATTGTTGCATTCTCTATTGGTGGATGGACACCAGCACCAACAAGTGAATCGATCTGATTTAATTCAGCTAAATAAACTTCCTCAAAGCCTTGTTAAACTGCTGACAAACTTCAGGCAGCAGAAAAGCATCCTACAGCCA